GTCTTCCCCAACATCACAGTTAAAAAGCATCAATTTTTCTGTGCTCAGCTTTCTTCATAGTCCAACTCTCACATCTGTACATGACCACTGGAAAATCCATAGCCTTGACTAGATGGACCTTTGTTGACGAAGTAATGTCTCTGCTTTTTAATATGCTGTCTAGGTTGGTCATAACTTTCCTTCCAAGGAGTAAGCGTCTTTTAATTTCATGGCTGCAGTCACCATCTGCAGTGATTTTGGAGCCCANTGATCTCTGGTTCCTTTGCCTCTTCTAAAACCAACTTGAACATCTGGAAGTTCACGGTTCATGTATTGCTGAAGCCTGGCTTGGAGAATTTTAAGCATTACTTTAGTTGCATGTGAGATGAGGGCACTTGTGTGGTAGTTTGAGCATTCTTTGAGATTGCCTTTCTTTGGGATTGGAATGAAAACTCACATTTTCCAGTCCTGTGTCCACTACTCAGTTTTCCACATTGAGTGCAGCACTTTCACAGCATTCATCATCTTTCAGGATTTGAAATAGCTCAACTGGAATTCCATCACCTCCACTAGCTTTGTTCACAGCGACGCTTCCTAAGGCCCACTTGACTTCACATTCCAGGATGTCTGGCTCTAGGTGAGTGAGTGATCACACCATCATGGTTATCTGGGTTATGAAGATCTTTTTTTTGCATGGTTTTTCTGTGTATTTTGCCACCTCTTCTTAATATCTTCTGCTTCTGTTAGGTTCATACCTTTTCTGTCCTTTATTGAGCCCATCTTTGCACAAAATGTTCCCTTGATATCTCTGATTTTCTTGAAGAGGTCTCTAGTCTTTCCCATTCTATTGTTTTCCTCTGTTTCTTTGCATTGATCTCTGAGGAAGGCTTTTTATCTCTCCTTGCTATTCTTTGGAACTCTGCATTCAAATGGGTACATCTTTCCTTTTCTCCTTTGCTTTTCACTTCTCTTCTTTTCACAGCTATTTGGAAGGCCTTGTCAGACAGCCATTTTGCTTTTTTGCATTTCTTTTTCTTGCAGATGGTCTTGATTCCTGTCTTCTGTACAATATCACAAACCTCTTTCCATAGTTCATCAGGCACTCTGTCTATCAGATCTTGTCCCTTAAATCTATGTCTCACTAAGAATTAATATTGTTAAAGTTACTGTAATACCCTATGCAATCTACAGAGTCAATGCAGGTCCTATCAATATACCAAAGGAATTTTTCACAGAGAAAAAAGGAAATAATTTTAAAATTTGTATGTAATAAAATACCTCCAATAGCCAAAGAACTTGATAAAGAACAAAGTTGAGAAGTCATGCTTCTGGCTTCAGAATATGGTACTAAACTACAATAATCAAGAGTATCATAGTGGTTCAAAAACAGACACATAGTTTAATGGAACAGAATAAAGAGCCCAGAAAAAAATCTCCATTCATTATGGTCAATTAATCTACAATAAAGGAGGCAGGAATATGCAATGGAGAAATGACCATCTCTTCAATAAGTGATGCTGGGAAAACTGGACAGCTGTATGTAAGGAAATGAAATTAAAGCATTTTCTAACACCGTAAACAGTCAGAGCATATTATACTAGCAAGTTTTTCATTTGATTATCTCATTGTCTTTGAGGGCAGGACCTTGTTTTATGTGTCCGTAGTTTTTCCCACAGCACATAGCACAGTACTGGATGTTTCCACATCTCTGGGGATGGGGCAAGTGTTTTGAGCCATACATGGAATATTTAGCAGGAATTGCTTAGCAGGCTATCTTAAGGTATATTTTAATATATAGTTCTGTATAATCTTCATAAATACTGTATTTTACAAATGAGAAAACTAGAGTCAGCCGGGTTAAATGACTTGGGAACACTTGTTATAGATAATATGTACAAAGTGAGAACTTAAGTTTTCTGCCTTTTCAGATGAATAAAATGAAACAAATATTTATAATATATTGTGTGCCAAGTACTTTGCATATTCTGATTTAGCCTGATGAGCAGAGATTGAGTTCAGAGATTGAATAACTGCCCAAGGCCACACAAGTAATAAATGACAGTTTGTATTAAAATGTGACTCCAATGCTCCTGCAATATAGTATGTGGCCATTAGTGTTATTAAGAACACTTGACATAATTTTTAATAGCAGGGAATACATTTACAGAATCCTTTCTTCATGTATTATATTTTTTATTTTTATTAAAGTACAGTTGATTTACAATACTATATTAGTTTCAGGTGTACAGCATAGCCATTCAATAGACAGCATCAATGACTCAGTGGACATAAATTAGAGCCAATTCCAGGAGATAGTGAAGGACAGGGAAGCCTGGTGTGCTGCAGTCCGTGAGCTTGCAAAGAGTTGGACATGACTTAGTGACTGAATAACAATAAAGTTTTTTTTATATATAAAATATTGACTATTTTTTTCTGTGATGTAAAATATATCCTTCTATGTTATTTGTTTTATACATAGTACCAGGTACCTCTCAATATCCTAACCTTATGTGGCCTCTCCTCCATCTTTCTTCCCAGTAGTAACCACTAGTGTGTTCTTTATATTCTTGAGTCTATTTCCATTTTGTTATATTCCATTTTTTTTTAGATTCCACATATAAGTGATAGCATACAGTATTAGCCTTTCTCTGTCTGACTTTTTCATTAAGCATAATACACTCTAGATTCACCCATATAGTTGCAAATAGTCAATTTTCATTCTTTTTTAGGGCTGTGTAATATTTCATTGCATATATACCACAGCTCCTTTATCCAATCATGAGGTTATGGACACTAAGTTTGCTTCCATATCTTGGCTGTTGTAAATAATGCTACTGTGAACATTGGGGTGGAAATATATATATATATATTTTCCCCATAAATCAGTGTTTTTGTTCCCCTCAGATATATACACAGGAGTGGAATGGTTGGATCATATAATAGTTCTATTTTTACTCTCTTGAAAAATATCATTGTTCTTTTTATAATAGCTACACCAGTTTACCTTCGCACCAACAGTACAGTAGGGCTCCCTTTTCTCCACATCTTCACCACCACACTTATTATTTTTTGTGTTCTATTTGACAATAGCAATTCTGGCATTTGTGAGGTGATGTCTCACTGTAGTTTTGATTTGCATTTCCCTGATTATTAGCAATGTTGAGCATCCTTTCATGTGCCTGTTGGCCATCTGTATGTCTTCTTTGGAAAAATATCTATTCAAGTTTTATGCTCATTTTTAAATTGAATTGTTTGGCTTTTTTAATATTGAATTTTATGAATTGTTTATGCATTTTGGACATTAATCCTAACAGTCATATCACTAGTAAATACTTTCTTATATTCATTAGGTTTTCTTTTCTTTGTTATCAATAGCTTTTAAGTCTAATTTGGTGCTACTTGTTTACTTTTACTTTTATTTCCTTTGCTTTAGGAGACCGGTTTAAAAGCATATTGCCATGATTTATGTCAAAGAGTGTTCTGCCTATGTTTTTGTTTAGAAATTTTATGGCTTATGGTCTTACATTTAAGTATTTAATTCATTTTTACTTTATTTTTGTATGTGGTATCAGGGAAGCCATAACTCAGTTGGTGAAGAATCTGCCTGCAATGCAGGAGACCCTGGTTTGATTCCTGGGTCAGGAAGATCCCCTGGAGAAGGGATAGGCTACCCACTTCAGTATTCTTGGGCTTCCCTTGTGGTTCAGCTGGTAAAGAATCAGCCTGTAACGCGAGGGACCTGAGTTCAATCCCTGGGTTGAGAAGATCCCCTGTAGAAGGGAAAGGCTACCCACTCCAGTATTCTGGCCTGGAAAATTTTATGGACTGTATAGTCCATGGGGTCGCCAAGAGTCGGACACGACTGAATGACTTTCACTCACTGGCTCAGGAGATAAAGAATCTGCCTGCAATGCAGGGAACACAGGAGATGCAGGTTGATTCCCTGGGTCAGGAAGATCCCTTGGTTGAGAATACTCTCCAATATTGAGAAAACTCCGGTATTTTTGCTGAAAAACCAAGATATTGACAAGGCTGTGTTCTTTCTGCAGGCTGCAGAGAAGAATACATCCCTTAACTTCTTCAGTTTCTGGAGGCTGCTCACATTCCTTGGCTCACGGTCTCTTTCTCACCTCTCCAACTTCTTGTTTCTGTCATCAAATCACCTACTATTCATTCTGATCTTGTTACCTCCCTCCCTCTTATAAGGACCCTTGAGGTTACATTGAGCCCACCATAAAATACAGGATAATTTCCCCCATCCCAAGGTCATTAGCTTAATCATATTTGCAAAGTTCCTTTTTATCATGTAAGAAAATATATTCTCAGAATCCAAGGATGAGGATGTGGACATCATTAGGGGACCATTATTCAGTTTACCATGTTACTTCAGCTCAGAGACAATCATTGGGATGAGAAAAGTCAGAATGGTACTTGCGATTGTAATACAACTTGAAGGGTATAGAGATAAGGAGGTGATCACTCCTAGACTGGAAAATGACGTAAACCCATGTAGTGGGGGTAGGAATCATCACAATTTACATGGACTTTGTTAAAGAGAGTAATATAAATGCAGTACGCATGAGATACAATCAAGTGGGAGGCGGAAAAGATCAAATCACAAAGTCAAGCAAAAGGATCCACATTTGAGATAGGCTTGAAAATTTTGAATTACTGAAAGCTCCCAAGTAAGCTCCCAAGTGACATTATAAAAGTACTATTTTCAGGATGATTTGTTTAGCCAAGTAGAGGTGGGAGAGGGGACCTCAAGAGGAACAAATGCTGATTGGTTATATCTCCTCTAAAGTATCACTGATGTCTAAGGTGCTTTCAGAACACCTGAAAACAAGAAGATAGCAATTTCAAAGGCAATATAAAAGGCCAGTCAGGATCATTTTAACATCTGTCCATCAAGAGGAGCACAAATCACAGACAACTAAGGGCTTCCCATATTGTAAAGGAAGCTAATTTCTATAAGGTCAAGGCAGTTTTAAAGAAAGAGAAAGAAAATATACCAGTCTTACCTCATTGCCACATTACTTCCATCTATGACAATTGGCCTCAAATTGTCACTGTTGTCTATTTCATCTTCAAGAGACAGCTCAGGGCTTGTGATCTCTCTGGAGCTGGGCCCCCGAGGCCCTAACAGACTCAAGTTGACTTGCCCTTCCAAATCACCTTTGTTCCCAAGTCTGACAAGCTCTGCCAATACATCATTAATAAGCGATTCTGGACCCAGTTTGTTCAGCACTGATTGAATCTGTTCCTCTGCGTAACCCAACTTTAAAGCAAAATCCATCTTGGTTTGGTATTCTTTTTCCAAGTCAAGCTTCCCATCATGTAGAATGCTGCTCTGGGAGAAGCTTGGATGATCTAGGCAGGGTGATCTACATAGCTGGCGGTGTGGCTTAGAAAGGATCTCCTTTTTATTCAATTGAACATCTCCCAGTTGGCAACTATTGTCATTGTTGCTGTTTTTAAGGCTCATTTGTTCAGGATCACTCTCAGAGCCCGGCCACTCTTCAGAATCAGCATTGCACTGCTCTGTATTCTCTTGCTTAGACTGCTGCTTCTCTTCCTTGGAGGCACTCTTCTTCATTTTTGGTGTTTCCACTGCAGCGGTGGCTGTCATCCCGTTCAGTAGGCAGTCTAAGGTCTAATCAGCTTTTTTTTTTCTTCTTAGCCTGCTTGGAATTCATGTACATTGGCATTCCTTTGCATAAAATGTGGTGGCAGTGGTGGCACAAGAGTTTGCCTGTTTGGTTTGTTATGTTTAGATGTTACCAGTTCCTACAAATAAACACACATATCATAATCATGTTTAGTAAACTTATGAAAAATTATTTTAGAATAAAGTGCTTTCTTCCTAAGAAACTACAGGCTGTCTGATATATTTTTCTGCTTAAAATGATTGGACTCAAAATAATATCAAATTTCTTTTCAGATCACGACAGTATGAGACTATAAAATCAACTACAAGAAAAACAACTAAAAGAAAAAAACAAACATGTGGAGTCTAAACAGCATGCTACTAAACAACCAATGGGTCATTGAATAAATCAAAGATAAAATAAAAAAAAGTATCTTGGGATAAAAATGTAAACACAACGACACAGAAATCTATTAGGCTGCAGGAAAGTAGTTCTAAGAGGGAAGTTTATAGTGATTCAAACCTACCTCAAGAAACAAGAAAAGTCTCAAATAAACCAACCTAAATTAAAGGAACTAGAAAAAGAAAAACAAACAAAACCCAGAGTTAGTAGAAGGAAATAAATAATAAAGATTAAAGCAGAAATAAATGAAATATAGACTAAAAAGCAAGAGAAAAGATTAATGAAAGTTAAGAGCTGGTTTTTTGATAAGATATACAAAATTGAAAAACTGTTAGCCAGAACTAATCAAACAGAGGGTTTCACTGGTGGCTCAGATGGTAAAGAATCTGCCTACAATGTGGAAGACCCAGGTTCGATTCCTGGGTCAGCAAGATCCCCTGGCAAAGGAACTGGCTACCCACTCCAGTACTCTCACCTAGAGAATCACATGGACAGAGGAGCCTGTTGGGCTAGAGTACATGAGGTCTCAAGGAGTTGGACACGACTGAGTGACTAACAGACACATCAAAAAGAGAGAGGGCCTAGATAAATAAAATCAGAAATGGAAAGAAAAATTTACAACTGACAGCCCAGAAATACAAAGAATTATAAGAAAATTACTATAAAAAACTATATACTCCAAAAATGGACAGCCTAAAAGAAATGGCTATTCTTAGAAATACAGACTCCCAAGACTAATCAGGAAGAAATAGATAAAAATACAAACAAACCAATTGCCAGGAATGAAACTAAATCTGTAATTTAAAACTTCCCAACAAACAAAAGTCTAACACCAGATGGCTTCACAGATAAATTCTACCAAACATTTAAAAAAGAGCTACTGCCTCTCCTCCTCAGACTATTCAAAAAATTGAAGAGAAGAAAATGCTTTCAATGCTGCTTTCAAGCCAGTATTACCCTGATTAAAAAAAAAAAATTAGACAAAGATAATCTAAAAAATAAAATTGCAGGCAAAAATCACTGATAAACATAAATGCAAAAACACTCAACAAAGTATTACCAAACTAAATTCAACAGTAAGTTAAAAGGTTCACATACCATGATTCAGTAGTATTTATCAAAGGATGCAAAGATCTTTCAATATCTGCAAATCACTGTGATTCACCACATTAACAAATTGAATAAAATTATATGGTCATGTCAATTTATGCAGAAAAAGCTTTTGACAAAACTTAGTGTCTGTTTATAATAAAACCTCTTCAGAAAGTGGGAATAGAAGTAACATACCTAAACATAATAAAGGCCTTACATGCCCCTACGACCAACAATATGCTCAATTGTGAAATGAAGAAAACACTTTCTCTAAGATCAGGAACAAGATAAATTTGCCCACTCTCACTGCCTTTATTCAACAAAGTATTGAAAGTTCTAATCACAACAATTATACAAGAAAAAGAAATGAAAGTAATCCAAATTAGAAAGAAAGAAGTCAAACTTCTTGCAGATGACATGATACTATATACAGAAACCCTAAAGACTCCACCAAAAAAAAAAAAAAAACACTATTATATCTGATAAATGAATTCACTAAAGTTATAGGATACAAAATTAATATACCGAAATCTGTAGTTTTTCTATTCAATAAAAAACATATATCAGAAAGAAAAATTAACAATCCCGCTTATAATTGCATCAAACAGAATCAAATACCTAGGAATAATTTAACTGGGGTGGTGAAAAGCCTGTACTCTGAACAGGATAAGTCATTGACAAAAGAAATTGAAGAATACACAAAAAAATAGAAGATATACCTTGCTCATGGATTAGAATAGTTAATATTGTTAAAACATTCATATTACACAAAGTGTTCTACAGATTCAATGCAATCTCTATCAAAGCATCAGTGACAGTTTTCACAGGACTAGAACAAATAATTCTAAAGTTTATATAGAACCATGAAAGGCACTGGATAGCCAAAGCAATTTTGAGTAAAAAAAAAAATGTTGGAGGTATCACACTCCTTTACTTAAAACTTTACTACAAAGCTATAGTAATTAAACTAGCATGTAACTTGATACAAAAAGACACAAAAATCAATGGGAGAGAGCCCCCAAGTAAGCCAATGCCTATAGGATCAATTAATTTATGACTAAGGAGGCAAGAATATACAATGGAGAAAAGAGAGCTTCTTCAATAAATGGTGTTGGGGAGGAGAGAGTGGGATGAATTGAGAAGGCAGCACTGACATATATACAATACTAAGTGCAAAATAGATAGCAAGTGGGAAGCAGTTGTATAGCACAGGGAACTCAGCTCAGTGTTCCGTGATGACCTAGAGGGCTGGGATTGGGGCAAGGCGGAGGCAGTCTCAAGAGGGAGGAGATATAGGTATACTTATAGCTGATTCATATTGTTGTGTAGGAGAAACCAACGCAACATGGTAAAGCAACTATACTCCAATTAAAAATAAATTAAAAAAATGGTGTTAGGAAAAATTGAATACCTGTATGTAAAAGAATCAGACTGGACTAAATTCTTATACTACATGCAAAAATAAATTCAAAATGGATTAAAGATAAAAGTGTAAAACCTGAAACCATAGAACACTTAAAAGAAAACATAGGCAGTATGTTCTTTGCCATCAGTCTTAGCAACATTTTTTGTGTGTGTCCTTACAATCCTGCAACAAAAGGACAAAAAATAAACAAATGAGACTACATCAGACTAAAAGGTGCTTATATAGTGAAGGAAATCATCAATGAAAGAAAAGCAACCTACTAAATAAGATATTTGAAAATAAAATGTTCGATAAAGGTTTAGTATCCAAAATATATAAATAACTCATACAACTCAATAACAAAAAAATCCCAAACTTTCTGATCAAATAATGATCAGAGGACCTGAGTAGACATTTCTCCAAAGAAGACATACAGATGGCCAATCTCTGATACATGAAAAGATGCTTAACTTCATTAATCATCAGCAAAATGCATCAAAACAATATAACTTCCTACCTGTCATAAGGGCTATCACTGAACAGACAACACATAACAAGTGTTGGTGAGGATGTGGAGAAAAGGTAACCCTCCTGCACTATTGGTGTGGATGTAAATTGTCACAGGCAATATGGAAAATAACATGCAGATTCTTCAAAAAATTAAAAATAAAACTACCAGTATTCCCACATGTGGATATAAAGTAAGGAAAAACACAAACTCAAAAAGATATATGCATCCCTATGTTCATTTCAGCATTATTTACAGTAACCAAGATATGAAATAAATTTAAGTATCCATCAATATATGAATGGATAAAAATATCTGGGAAATATATATGTACACACACATAAACAATGGAATATTATTCAGCTACAAAAAAGAAAGAAATCTTGCCTTTTGAGACAACATGAATGGACCAAGAAGGTATTAGGTTTTGTTCATTTTGCCTTGCAGTGCAGCTTGTGGGATCTTAGTTCCCCAACCAGGAATCAAACCTGGGACCTTGGCAGTGAAAACACAGAATTATAACTACTGTACCTCCAGGGAATTCCCTAGAGGGTATTAAGTGAAATAAGTCAGACAGAGAAAGAAATATACTGTAAATTTCACTTATATGTGGAATCTAAAAAACAAATTAATAAACATAATAAATCAGAAACAGAATTATAGATCAGAGAACAAACTGGTGGTTGCTGCTTGGGGTGGGGTTGTGGGAGTGAGGGGTTAGGTGAAGTAGGTGAAGCGGATTAAGATTTATTATTTGTTATTATTTGTTATTATTTATTGGATTTATTATTCCAACAATAAAATAAATAAATCACAGAGATCTAATATACGGCATAAGGAATATAACTAATAATACTGTAATAATTTTGTATGGTGTCAAATGGTTACTAGGCTTTTTAGGGTGATCATTTTGTAATGTATTTAGATATCAGATCACTATGCTGTAAACCTGAAGCTAATAATGTTGCACATCACCTATATTTCAATAAAAAATGTTTGCACTCACCTTATGTAAAAAAATATAGCCTCTAGAAATCCAAAGTGCTATCCATTGTGCTACAGAGACTCCTAAGAATCTCTATTTCTCTTCTAATTCTAGACACAAAGTTTTCAGTGATGGTCATAGTGCTTTAATTCCTCCCCTCTCCAACAAAAATCATAGCCAAATTTAACTGCTTATCACAAAAACTTGAAGGAAGAGAAACATGGCATTTCAACAGGGTAGAGAAACATATACATCTTTCAAAAAAATCTTTCCTTCCTTTATGTCAGGTAGTGTTAGCTGCTCAGTCATATCTGACTCTGCAACCCCATGGACTGTAGCTTGACAGGCTCCTCTGTCCATGGGGTTCTCCAAGCAAGAATACTGGAGTGGACTGCCATTCCCTTCTCACGAGGATCTTCCTGACCCAGCAATCGAGCTCGGGTTTCCTGCATTGCCTCTTTACTGTTTGAGCTACAGGGAAGTCCCTGTCAGGTAAAATTTCCAAATATCACACCATATTCTTCTGTTGGGCTTCCCTGGTGGCTCAGACAGTAAAGAATCTGCCTGCAATGCAGGAGATCTGGGTTCCATCCCTGGGTCTGGAAGATCCCCTAGAGAAGGGAATGGAAACCCCTTCCAATATTCCTGCCTGGAGAGTTCTGTGACAGAAGAGCCTGGTGGGCTACAGTCCATGGGGTCACAAAGAGTTGGACATGACTGA